ATCTAAGCCACTGACAACATTCAACACACCATACGGACGATACTATTTTAAAAGGCTCCCATTCGGATTGGTCTCTGCACAAGATGTGTTCCAGAAAAAGGTAGACCCAACATTTGAAGGGCTGCCAGACATGGTAGCTATCGCAGATGACATAGTCGTATTCGGGAAGGACGAATTGACACATGATGCCAATCTTACATGTGTCATGAATCGTACAAAAGAAGTAGGACTTAAATTAAACCCAAACAAATGTGTCGTAAAGTCACAGAGAATAAAATTCTTTGGAAATTACCTTACAGACAAGGGACTGGAACCAGACCCAAGTAAGTTACATCCATAACAGAGATGGCACCTCCAACCAATGTGGCTGAGCTACAGTCACTACTAGGCACTGGCCAATTATCTTGGACGTTTCACCCCAAATTTGGCAACCATTACAAGCACTCTCCGAGACTTCAAAGAAGGACATTGTTTTCTCACCAAGCCGCCTTTCAAAAATTAAAAGACGCCATCAGTGCAAAATCATTACTAGCCTACTTCGACCCCAAGAAAACGGTAACCATACAGACTGATGCAAGCATGCAAGACCTCGGACCAACACTTATGCAGAATGGACTGATTGCTATCGAAGCCAACGCTCTATGGGACATCATCGGATCCGACCTATTTCACTGGAATGGACACAAGGTACAGGCAAATTTACCTGTAATCAGCACCAGCACGACTGACCATAAGGAACCAAGATCCACAAAATGGCATCAAAACTACAATCAGCATGCGATATATTATTGTTGTTCGATGTTTATAAATGATTTTAACTTATTGAGTATTTCAGTCCTGTTTTAAAATTGCCCCATGAGGGATAAATAAAGAATTATTGAATTGAATTGAATTGAATTGAATTGAAACCACTCAAAGAACTTCATAAGGGACAAAGTGTAAGAGTACTGGATTCAGTGGCGGCGCCAGCAGGGTGGCTTAATCTCCCCCCCCCCCGCCGGACAGAGCTCGTCGGGCAATCAGACCATAAAACATATAAAAATAGGCCCACACTAAGCCAACACCTGTCTGTCACAGTCTGAGAGTGCCATTTTCGGCCATCTAGAGGTTGATATTCTTTTAAAAAAATCTCATTTGGGAGGGGGAACCCCCTCTCAACCCCTTCTCCCAGCTCGAGCCTACAAGCTCAAGTCCCCCTGTCGGACAACTTACCCCCCACAGAAAATACAGTACATCCTAGAGCCTGACTGGATTACAAAACCAAGAAATGGAAACCTGCGATAATAGATGGACCAAGTGGTCAACCTAGATCATAGTTTCTGACTTCATCATCAGGAGCCCAGTATTGCAGAAATCGGCGACACATACGCACAACTGGTGGGAGCCTGACACACCAAAGGACATGGAGTCAGCCTGACACACCAAAGGACATGGAGTCAAGAAACACACCACCATCACCAGCTGAATTACCAAAGCTAATACCTACAACTGTGACCGGGCAAAGCACCCAATACATCACTAGATCTGGCCGATCTGTGCATCCACCAAAGCGGCTCGACTTATAGTAAAAGTTAATAAATCACAACTCTTATGCAGTATACAATCAACCTAATATCTTTAAACCTTAACAAAAAATATTGGAGCACATTAAAAATAAATACGCATACTATAATGGACAATAAAACTCAGGTATGCAATAATTAGTTAATATGATAATGAACCACATAGATTAGATAAGTAGTGATCATCATAATATGCAAACAACATACAGTTAGTAATAGTTAAAAGTTAGACAAACACTAAAGAAGGGAGATGTCACAGTATTGAGATACTGTACTGTATTGATTTAATTAATAACTTGTTTGCTGCCAGCTATGTTGGTTTGACATTTGACCAAATAAAACACTTCCATTGTTAGTGTTACATATGTATGATCTTGTTTATTACTGTGTTTTAATATACCACCAGAACCCCTATACTACGACAATCTTATTTGTTTTTCATGGTTCGAATTTTGAATACGTTACAAGCTAATCAGTAGATAATAAATCAATATGAATTCTTAAGCCACATTTTAGCAACAAAATAATCAAATTTAATCGGCTCATATTCACTGCAGCGAAGTGACCTTCAGAAGCCTTTGTTATCGTTTAGACTCGCTGATTTTATGAGGGGTAATTAATAAGCCAACCTTTGGTTTTTATGCATTGTTTGAGTCTTAAATATTATTAACTGTATTACTGTACTAGTTTAACAATTTTACAATTTAGGCTATAATGTTCATTCATATATTTTACGACGCACCTTTCCTAGCCAGCCTGAATCCAGATATCCCAGACCTCCTCAATAATGGTACGTTTCCACTTCTTACCAGCTGGAAGAGAAATCTACAACCGTGTGTTTTAGATCCTTGTGTGCCTTTAAATTTACATTAAATCAACAATAACCCTCAGTAAATGTTGACAACACATTACTTTATTGGTATGTAGAAGGGGAATATAAAATACCTACTGTGCTATTGTATTAGTTTTTAATCATGTGACTGTTAATCCCTTTCATGTCACCTACACTTGGTTTACTATCTTATATTTATTTTTGTTCACTTGATCTTGAGAATGCGTCCATGATGGACACGAAACGTCGATCCTTTTTGTCAATAAATTTTGTGTTAAAGCTAAAGGAAATTGTCCAATTTAAGGCAAAAGGTACAACAACAGTACAACGCAGATTCATTAACAATGGCGGAAAACCTATAACCAAAGCTTCACATTTTCGCGGGCATAATGCCTAGACAGGATTGTTCATTCATATTGAAATTAGTGTTTTGACGGTGAATTTTTTCATCCAATGGGAATATATTTTATATGAGAAGAATCTATGAATATTCAGCTATTATTTTACGGGGGTGAACAACAAGATATTCGATTGGTAAACAGCCAAAAAAAAAAAAAAAAAAAAAAAAGCTAAAAAGAGGTAAAAATGCAGCCTCTACGCGGCATAGTATCGAAAATTGAAAAATGACGGTGACTTTTTTCAAGCAATACAATTGGAACAAATACTAAAGCAATGAGAAAAGAATTGCCTTTTAAATACCGAAGGGAACACAAAAACCCGACAAGTATTTGCTGAGATACGACTGTGGAAAGACGAAAAATTACCCAAAAACAGCTCGGTGCGAAATACAGAGTGAAACACTAATTTGCTAGGCTATTCTCGCTCTTCAACGAAACTGTTGCAAGAAGAATCCCTATCCCAAACTAACATTCATAAAAATAATCATAATTATTTTTATGAATGTTAGTTTGCACGAAATATAGAAGCGTGCATAATTATGACTAAAAGGATAATTTTAAAAACTTTTTATGATGAGTATTTTAGTGACAGATTCAAGGGACCAAGCGGGAAAGTGGCTGCGGGTCAGACCCAACCGAACTTTGGGGGTCAAACTTTCTAGGCAAAATGGGGAAAAATCTTAATGTTGCTCTTTGCCTATTACCTCTCATTTTGTTTTCCATTTCGAGTACTGAATGTTTATGACAAACCTGGGCTACTCCCAGTTTCTAATTCATAATTACACAAAATTAATCAAAATAGACAAAAACAAATCCTAGCAGGCAAAAGCTATTGTAGAGCATGCACCAAGACAAAAACCAAATGTGCACCCCCACCACCTTACAATGGTATAGCCCAATCTTGGATGGCCTTAAAAGGGGTGGTTAAGACAGATTTCCATTATACCAGCAGATCAAGGGCTATCCTTGGTAGATGTAAAATAAGTGACTTGCTTAGTTTGCCACAGAGTAATGAACTTAACATAATTAATTAAATACCCATTTTTCTAATGTAACTATGTAAACAACATGGAGAAAATCTCTATAGTAACAGCATGTGACCACAGCCACCTAGCGGCGCGGCATACAAAAGACTCAGACCAAGTGGTTTGGCGTAGTGGGAACAGTTTGGTTTCCCAAACTCGAGGTCGGGGTTTCAAACCCTCGCTATGTATTTCACTTGTGGCCTTGGGCAAGACACTTTATCTGCATTGCTGCTCTCCACAGGAGTATAAATAGGTACCTGGTAGGTTTAAATGTCAAAATGCACTTAGACAGGGTCCAGCCAAGAATAAACTGCCATTTTTTGCGGTCAAGATTTTCTCAGCGGTTTTATCTTCCTGACGCCATACTATTTAAAATAAGCTTGGGGGCCACCCAGATTTTTCAAATCCAAGATGGCCGCTAAAATCGAAGATGACCACTAAAATCCAAAATGGCCGCCAAAATTACAATTATTAGAGATATACAACATATTGAGGTTGGCTCCCTTGGCCACTCAAAATAAAGCGATATTAAGGGAAGTTTAGATATATTATGGGGAAAAAACATTTTGGATTGGATTGGATTGGATTTATTCGGTGTAAACACTAAGGATAGCCCACAAAAGTCTAGAAGAAGACTTATTTCCAGTGGGGTCCTTCTGGTGGTGATTGGACAGTACACTGGGAGACAATCCCTACTCTTTTCCGAAGAGTGTACTGCGTTCTTAAACGTGCACATGGGCCATGGATGCATACAGGACAAGCATGTGACCTAAGTATTGCTTGAATGTTTTATCCTTTTGAATAAAGTGGTTGAAATGAAAAAAAAAAAAGAATTATAAAATACATGCTAAAATGTTGTGAATGATGTAGTCTATAGACACTCCTTATTTATCACATTTGAAAAACATACACGCATTTGTATCAGCCACACTCACTGAAGTAGGACGTTCCATTTACCTACTACATACTGAATACTCTGCTGTTCCTAACGCTGTACTGTACAAACGTAATTTGAATAATGAATTCTCGTATGTATTGTTTTTGTAGCGTGACAAGTCCTCATGCAATATTTTGTAGACTGTAAAATTGTTTTTCTGATATTTGAATAGACATAAAAAAAAAATATCATTCCTATATTAAACATATTATTCAAAAGAAACATATAAAAATGAATTAACCATACATTCGTTACATTAAGGAATCCCTCTTGACTACTAGCAGCAGATGGCCTGGCTGTATAAATTCCACTGTCAGTGTCCTCAAATTCGGATCCTCCTTCTCTAAAAAAGTGTACAATTCAATTACTTCTTTATACAATATAAATTGTGATAAATTCAAAGTTGGAATATTGTAAACACTTTAAATGGTTTGTAAATACAGAACATCTATATGGAAACTTTATTAGAAAATAATTTTTCAAGTGAATTAAACACCAGCAAGATAGTAATTTTATTAAAGTTAATAAAATAATATAAATTCAGGCATCTCTAGGGAAACTTTATTAAAAAATAATTTTTCAAATGAATTAAACACCAGCAAGATAATAATTTTATTAAAGTAATTTTATTAAAGTTAATAAAATAATATAAATCCAGGCATCTCTAGGGAAACTTTATTAAAAAATAATTTTTCAAGTGAATTAAACACCAGCAAGATAGTAATGTTATTTAGGTTAATTAAAATAATATAAATCTAGGCCAGCTCTTTTAAAAAGATTAAAATGATACGTACACGTTGTCTTCTTGGACTCTTCTTTCACTAAAAAAGTACACAATTCAATTACTCCTTTATACATACAATATAAATTGTGATGATTTCAAAGTTGGAATATTGTAAACACCTTAAATGGTCTGTAAATACAGAACATCTATATGGAAACTTTATTAGAAAATAATTTTTCAAGTGAATTACACACCAGCAAGATAGTAATTTTATTAAAGTTAATAAAATAATATAAATCCAGGCATCTCTTGGGAAACTTTATTAAAAAATAATTTTTCAAGTGAATTAAACACCAGCAAGATAGTAATTTTATTAAAGTTAATAAAATAATATAAATCCAGGCATCTCTAGGGAAACTTTATTAAAAAATAATTTTTCAAGTGAATTGAACACCAGCAAGATAGTAATGTTATTTAGGTTAATTAAAATAATATAAATCTAGGCCTACAGCTCTTTTAAAAAGATTAAAATGATACGTACACGTCGTCTTCTTGGACTCTTCTTTCACTAAAAAAGTACACAATTCAATTACTCCTTTATACATACAATATAAATTGTGATGATTTCAAAGTTGGAATATCGTAAACACCTTAAATGGTCTGTAAATACAGAACATCTATATGGAAACTTTATTAGAAAATAATTTTTCAAGTGAATTAAACACCAGCAAGATAGTAATGTTATTTAGGTTAATTAAAATAAAATAAATCTAGGCCAGCTCTTTAAAAAAGATTAAAATGATACGTACGCGTCTTCTGGGATTCTTCTTCCACTAAAAAAGAACACAATTCAATTACTCCTTTATACATACAATATAAATTGATGATTTCAAAGTTGGAATATTGTAAACACCTTAAATGGTCTGTAAATATAGAACATCTATATGGAAACTTTTAGTTAATAAAGTTAAAGATTTTGAAGAGCTACAGCTCTTCAAAATAGATTTTTGTTCCCAACTTGAAATTTTAAATGAATCTCATAAGCAGCCTTGGTAGTTGTCAAAAATAAAAAGAACTGCACTTTAGTTTTAGTTACAATGGGCTAGAACATATTTGATGACAATTTTATAGGAAAATAATCAAAATTAACTGAACATTTAAAAAAGATAATGAATTAACAAAAATTACACCAAAAAAAGCAGTTTTAATAAAACTTTTATACAAGTTATAATTACAGGTCTCCCTCCAATTTTACTTCATATTATGTTTGGTGCAAACAGAGATCCCAAACCAGTGCATACGCAATTACCATTTGAAACAGCGTATTGATGAGTGCAACAATTGACAACGATACCAACTGTGGGAATTTAGTTTCATATATTGGATTTTTAGCCATATTGTTATAGGCAGAAGTCAAAGAACTCTCAAAAGGAGTAACTCCTGCTGAGAAACCACAGCTGAAAACATCGACTTTGGCAGGCAGGAAACATATACGGTAGCTCAAAAGCGAAGCCCGCAAGAAAGGCAGGCCCGTCCTTGGCAACCGAGACGAGGTTTGCTAACAAATGAACAATCTACTCAGGCAACTAATCGATAATGAGACCCTGAGCAATACAACTGTGAAAACGATGATTTATCATATTGCACAAGCATATCGAATGAATATTTTGATCATAATGATCAAGATCAAAGTGTTAGTGATGAATACTGCAATGGATGCAGGCATAGGCCTACAGTAGGCTTAGGCCTGCCTATTAATAGTAATGGTGAAACAAGCCAAGGCCTAGCGGAGGTTTGCCACTACTGAAAACGTGGGGGAACCACTAAACAATGGCCTAGCAGAGAGCATTACATATCTGCTCCATTCACCAATGGACGATAACGTTATGCAGGAACAGGAAACTTACCCCATGCCTGAAATGCTACGACACTGATAGTTCCTAAGGTCAACCTGACACTTTGGGATGGAATTTCTACCAAAGCAAGGTCCATGGATTTAAAAATACAGAGAAAAGCCTTTAATAAAAGGTATTACTGCCTTTGCTCAAACATTGGGACCTGACCGGGAAATTACGGTCACAAGATGTATTGGCATTAAGACAGGGCCCAGCCAAGGATAAACTGCCAATTTTTCCGGTCAAGGTTTTCTCAGCGGTTTTATCATCCTGACCAACATACTATTGGAAATAAGCTTGGGGGAAAATCCAAGATGACCGCCAAAATCTAAAATGGCCGCCAAACTTGCAATTATTAGAGATATACAACATATTTATTCGGTGTTGTCAACTTTTTTGAAGTGGAATTGTCAAATCAGACCTAAGCCTTTCAAGATCAATCAAGGGCCACCAATAATTTTACCTGAAATCCAAGATGGCCACCAATCTAACATGGCCGCCGAAAAATCACAATTATTAGAGAAATGTAGCATACTCGGTTATGTCAATGTTTTTTCAGTAGATTTTTCACCTGGTTCATAAACCATTCAAAATCAATCGAGGGCCACCCAGAAATTGGCCTCAAATCCAAAATGGCCAGCAAAATTCAAAATGACCAAAAAATTACAATAATTCCAGATTTGCAGCTTACTATTTGGTTTCAAATGTCGATGTTTAATCAGTGGATTTGTCATCTGGGACATAAACCTTTCACGGTCAATCGAGTGTCACCCAGAATTTGGCCTCAAATCCAAGATGGCCGCCAAAATCCAAAATGGCCACCGAATTAACTTAATTCGGTAAATTCTGCCTATTATTTGTTCCTGTTAACATTTTTTAGTGAATTTGTTAATCATGAATTAATTTAAAATTAACTCTAAGGCCACCTAAAAGTTAACTTCATATCCAAGATGGCCGTCAAAATGCAAAAATGGCCACCAGATGTATATTGCCAGAAATTTGTTGCGTAAAAACTTTTTTACGGGGATCTGTCATCTAGAACCTGTATCTGTAAAAATTTATTTACACACACCGACACACAAAAAAATGTAGTTGTAGTTGTGCGCTCACTGGCTGCACACGCTTGTGTTTTTGCTCCGGAAACTGTGTTGAGATCTTAGTGATTTAGTTGCATTTCTTCTTCACTCTAATAATTTGTGTCTGCTACACTTGCTTAATTTGATGGCTTCCTTCTATGAATCTTTTTATCATCGTTTTGTCTCTGAATGTACTGCCAGGCTGCCTACTTACGATCATGCCTTCTTACTCAGCTGCTAAAGCATGGGACCTACGCTCAAAACATCTGCCCCTTGATTTGCACGTGAAAGCCCATTGCTTTGGGCTTGGAATTTTACGCCATACTCATTGTGGAAGAAGGGCGGGTAAGTGGGTGCAACTGAAGAGACGTTCAGCATGTCAGATAATTAGGCCTTTATTATTTCATACTCCATCGTTGTCTTGTGGTCTCCCTAATGCTAGATCTGTGTGTAATAAGTCTATCATACTTTCTGACTTTGTTGCAGAAAAAGAGTATGATTTGTTTGCATTCACTGAGACCTGGCTTTAGCCTGATGACTCCACAACAGTATGTGAATTAACTCCCCCTGGCTATATATTTCTACATCCCCCAGGCATTCGGGACGTGGTGGTGGTGTTGGTTTTCTTGTTAAGAATTCCCTTGACTTTCGGGTTATTGATCGTGCTTTTGATTTTTCCACTTTTGAAGTATGTGAGATTTTTTCACTGGTTGTGGGTTTTCGCTTCATTGTCGTTTATTGCCCTCCTGGAAATTGTCTACCTGCTTTTTTTGATGAATTTTTTTCATATATGACTCCTTTTCTGGTTGAAATGATGTTGGTATGGGAGACTTCAACATCCATGTTGATAGGTCACTTGACCCCATACATCGTTGATTTTTACGGTATTTGAATGATTCCAATCTTATTCAGCATGTTATTGAACCAACCCATCAACTTGGGGGTATTTTAGATTTAATTTTGACCCGTACTGAAGTTATTGATGCCTTGTGGTTGTTCAGCATACTTTTAGTGACCATGCTATTATTAATTTTAAAGTTTGTTCGCCCAAGCCCAAAGTTGCTGTCCATTGTATTTTTGAGCGTAGGAACCTGAAATCTATCAATAATGATAGCTTTAGATGGTCACTAATTAAATCGCTACAAATTGTTGAATGCCCATCCAGTACTGACTTAAACCATATTGTCAGCCTGTTTAATTCAACTCTTAAATGTATTCTCGATACTCCCCTTAAGTCGTGTAAAATTTGTGACAAGAAATATAATTGCTGGTACACTTCTTCTGTTCGTAAGCAAAAACGGTTATGTCGCAAGCTTGAGCGTCGATGGCGACAGTCAAATTGTTCAAATGATAAGAAGCTGTTCTCTGAGGCCCAATGTACTCTAAACAATTCAATCTGCAAAGTCATATATTTTCACATCTAAAATTGCTGGTTGTCATGGTGATCAACGAAAATTATTTAACATAGTAAGTAGTTTGATTAAACCAAACACCCCCGTATATCCCTCCCATCAGTGTCCACAAGAGCTTGCAAATGATTTTTCTGACTTTTTCGTTTCTAAAGTGGAAAAAATTCATGACAACTTTGAGATTGGCTCTATAAATCATGCTTTTGTGAAGGATAGGCGTTGCTCTTACACTTTTCATTCTTTCTCCACCTTTGATGACAAGATACTTACTGACCTGATTTCCTCCTCTTCCAACTCCACTTGCTCTCTTGATGCTCTCCCAACTCCATTATTTAAAACTTTTCTTCCAGAAATCCTGCCCATGTGCTTTACATAATAGGCCTCTGTCTTCTGGTACATTCCCTTGTCATTTTAAATCGGCTGTTACTACTCCTCTACTGAAAAGTTCTAAACTGGATAGAAACAGTTACTGTAGCTATCGTCCAATATCTAATCTATCGTTTATTTCCAAAGTCCTTGAAAAATGTGTATCTTCACAAATCTCCATGTACTTGACTGAACACGATCTTATCGAACCCTACCAATCTGCCTATAGGCATGGACATAGTGTATAGACTGCTCTTGTTAAAATTCATGATGACATTGCACTCGCACTAGATGGTCGTAAAGCTGTTGCATTTGTTCTTCTTGATCTTTCAGCAGCGTTTGACACTGTTGATGACTGTATTCTTCTTGAAAGACTCTCCAATCAGTTTGGTTTTTCCGGTTGTGTTCTTAGTTGGTTTTCCTCCTACCTTTCCTCTCGTACACAAGCTGTACGGATTGATAACTGTTTGTCATCCGCTAAGCCTCTACCTTATGGTGTCCCACAGGGATCGGTCTTAGGACCGCTGCTTTTTACCCTTTACATCACATCACATCGGTTGCTAATATAATCCGTAATCACGGAGTTAAGTACGCTGATGACATCCAACTCTATGTACCGTTTAACCCTAAAACTGCTATAAACAAGATTCAAATAACTGTGTTTGAAATAAAACTGTGGATGTTTCAAAACAAACTCAAACTAAATGAGTCGAAGACCCAATACATTGTATTCCACTCTTGCTTTACTGATCCTAAGCTCTTTTTCCCCCCCTATTACTCTAGGTACAACAGTCCTTCAGCCGTCAGAATCTGTTAGAAACC